CAACAATAATATCATCAACATAAACCAAAATAGCAATAAAGCAAGTAGGAGAAGAACGAACAAATAAGGAGTGATCAGATTGTGATTGTAGAAACCCAAGTTGCGTCAAGGTGGAGGAGAACTTGGCATACCATTGCCTGGAAGCCTGACGGAGTCCATAAAGAGATTTATGGAGGCGGCAAACAGCATTAGGAGGAAGGGATGAGTGACTGGAAGTGTAACCAGGAGGCAAATGCATATACACCTCCTCAAACAAATCACCATGGAGGAATGCATTATTAAAGTCAAGTTGGACAAGGGTCCAATTGTGTATGGCAGCAAGAGCAAGGAGAACTCGTACGGTTGTTAACTTAGCAACCGGAGAAAAGGTATCCATGTAATCCACCCCCTCTTGTTGGGTAAAACCCTTAGCCACCAACCGGGCTTTATACCTCTCAAGGGATCCATCCGAGTTATATTTAACCTTAAAAACCCAACGGCAACCAACAGCCTTCTTGGATGGGGGAAGAGAAACAATAGACCATGTTTTATTTATCTCAAGAGCTGTAAGCTCACTGGCCATAGCAGCCTGCCATTCTGGGAGCTGAGAGGCCTCAGTAAAAGAAGATGGCTCAAAATGTGAAGAGAGAGAATTAATAAAAGCAGTGTGGGAGGGTGATAGTTTGGTATAAGAAAGGGAATTGGACAGGGGATGAGCTGTTGATGAAGAACAAAAATAATCTTGAAGATGTACAGGGAGTTGGCGGGTTCTTTGGGGTCGTGGGGTGATGGCAGTGTGTTGAGGAAGAACAGAGGTGTCAACAGAAAAATCAGAAGAAGAGGGTGATTGAGGTAAGTGAAGAAAATCTGTAGGGAATGGGCAGGAAGGAGATTTGATGGTAAATGGAAAAATGTTTTCATAAAAAATGACATCACGAGAGATGAAGGTTTTGTGAGACTGTAAGTCAAGAAGTTTGTAACCCTTGTAGCCGGGTGGATAACCAATAAACACAGCAGGGGAGGCCCGGGGGGAAAATTTGTGCCGGTTCTTAGGCAAAGTGGAACTGTAACACAAACAGCCAAAGACTCGAAGGTGGTCATAGGTAGGTGGCTTATGAGATAAAAGCTCAAAGGGTGTCAAGGAAGAAAGAAGAGGGGAGGGGGTTCGGTTGATAAGATAAACGGCAGTGAGCACACAATCCTGCCAATATGGTAAGGGGATGTGGGACTGAAAATGCAAAGCACGGGCAACATTAAGAAGATGTTGGTGCTTACGCTCAACAACAGAGTTCTGCTGAGGTCTATCTACGCAAGAATGAAAGACCTGTATCCCTTTAGAGGAGAAAAAGGAATGCAGATGAAATTCAGGTGCATTGTCACATCTAACAGATTTGATAGAAAAATGATACTGATTCTGAATGAGAGAATAAAAATGAGGAAAAACAAAAGCAAAATCGGATTTGGCACGAAGGAAGTATGTCCAAGTGAACCTAGTGGAGTCATCAACTAAGGTTAAGAAATAACGTGAACCCTCGACAGATGGGGTGTGGAAGGGACCCCAAATGTCGAGGTGCAGCAGATCAAAAGGAGAATTGGAAAGTTTGGGATTTAAAACAAAAGGAAGCCGTTTCTGCTTAGCAAGGGGACACACAGAACAATGATGTGCAAAATCTAAATTCTCAGAAAAACCCAAAACAGACTTCATTTTATTCAAAACAGAAATAGATAAATGGCCCAATCTGGAGTGCCAAAGGACAGGGTCCCTTACAGAAACAGAAAAACTCAGGGGATGGGGGACATGCACGTAAGGAAATAAATTGGTACTCTCTAAAAGATAAAGATCCCCTTGGCGTTCAGCAATCCCAATCGTCTTGGAGGTTGCACGATCCTGAAGAAAACAGTGAGAGGCAGAGAAATCAGCGATGATGGGGGAATCGCGAGTCAAGGAAGGTATGTAAAGAAGATTAAAATGAAAAGAGGGAACAAAAAGAACATTAAAAAGTTTCAAAAAATCAGCAACAAAAACTGAACCAACAGCGGAAACAGTAGTAAGTGAACCATTAGGGAAACTAAAAAAAGAAGACGAAGGAGAAGAAGAAACAAATAAAGATGAAGAGATACAAACATGGTGCGTAGCACCAGTATCCAAAACCCAGGAAGAAGAAGGGATGGAAACAGAGGACTTACCACTAAAACTGGCGACAGAAGGGAAAGACTCGGTGACAGAAGGAGCTGAGGAAGGTGATGACGTTGCAGAACTCTGTTGAAGAAGCGTAAGTAATTGGTTGTATTGGGTAGGTGTGAAAGCCAACGGAGTATCAGCGGTGGAATGGCTAGGGTTGACCGAGTAAGAGGATTGGGGAAACGAGTGAGGGTGTGGGGAGGCTGAGTGAATGAAGTGGGCCTGAGGGTAAGGTGGGATATTGGGCCGAGGGTTTCAGGTGGGCTTATAGCCAGGGGGATAGCCATGCAACTTAAAACACTTTTCGCGAATGTGGCCCGAAAGGTTACAGTAAGTGCAGAAAGGTTTGGAGCGGCGTTGGGTAGCGGCTGCAAGGGTTGGGGGAGGGAGATTAGTGGTGGTGGAATTGAGGAGAGGGGTTTCAGAAATTGCAGACGGAGGCAAGGAAAGGGAGATTTGGCGTTGACGTTCCTCTTGGAGGATTAGGGAAAAGACTTTGGCAAGCGAAGGCAATGGATCCAATAGCAGGATGTGGGCACGGGCCGACGAAAAAGAGTCAGTAAGGCCAATGAGAAATTGAAGAACATGGTCTTGTTCTCTCTGATGGGTGATCTGCCGAAGGGCACCACAGGTGCATGTAGGCAAGGGAAGATAATCATGGAGCTCGTCCCAAAGCGCCTTGAGCTTGGTATAATAGCCACTGACGTCGAGCGGTCCCTGGCTGAGAAGGGAAATCTGTTGCTTCAACTGGAAAATACGGGGACCATTGGCTTGAGAAAACCTTGTAGCCAGATCTGTCCAAACCTCATAGGCATTAGAGAAGTAAAGTAGGCTGTCAGCAATTTCCTTCGACACTGAGTTAAGAATCCATGAAATAATCATGGAATTGCAGCGGATCCAAGCGGGAAACAGCAAATCAGTTGAAGGAGGTCGAAGAAGGGAACTATCAACGAAGGATAATTTGTTCTTGGCAGTTAAAGCCAAAAGCATGGCGCGACGCCAAGAATGAAAATTAGAACCAGAGAGTGTATGGGAGACCAAAATCAACCCAGGATGGTCACCACTCTGTAAAAAATAAAGGCTAGAACTGTCATCCATGGAGGCTGATGATCCAGAGGAAACATCAGTTGGAGGAGGACGAGTGTTATTAGAGCCACGAGCCATAAAAAAGGCAAGGGCTAAAAAGAAACATCAGATACCATATTAGTTATGAGAAATGGAAAACCAGAGAAAGACTCAATGTTGCTGAATTGCATAATTCTCATTACTCAGAAGAAAAGTTGCATACAGTGGTAAGCTATATAGAAGGCATGAGGTCATAACAGAAAAGCGTAAAAATAGCACTTCACTACTCTGCTAACAGAATGTGCACATGAGCACACAACTCTCTAACAGAAACGTGGAAAGGGAAAATAGCAGTGTAAAAAGACTATCAGAAAGATAAAAGAATTACAAATAAAAAATGAATATTAATAGCTAATACTCGAGTTTGTCCTCCCACAACCAAACAGAATAAGAAGAAATCAGGAACTCACGAACTTGGAGGATTTATCAGAAAGGGAGCAATTGATGTTGTTCCAGCGGATTGTGACCGGCGTGACCTTTCCGGAGGGAAGAGCTTCACCGCCGTGGGAATCGTTGTCCGGCACATCGTCGTAATCGTTTTCCGGCGAGAGGGCGGGGCCGGGAGCGGAGAAGATGCGGACGAGGAGGGAGACAGCGACGGCGACGACGACCTGACCGAGGCCACTGCCGCCGAAGCCGGCGACCATTTGGCGCGCCTTTTTCCCGCCAAAAACCACCATTATCGTCGACTCTCTTCCGTCTGAACTTTCAACTGAGAGAACAGTGAAGTGTGTAGTTAGTAGACTAGTAGTTAACTGAGGAGCAAGGAAAATGAAAAATATCCGACCCCAACGACGGCGTTTTGGTCACTGTAGAACGAGAGTGGGTGACACGTGTCCACTTGTAGATAAGATGAGCGATTGGTTCTGTTTATTTTTCTCCCATTTGTGCGAAATCGAAAACGATTTTCCTTATCTCAAGCCTGGCAGGCACTTGTCATGCTTGACGCCAAAATCAATCTCATATCGTGACGAGAATGATCATTTGCCATATCTTTCTCCCAACGTGAATAATCAGGGTAACAAGATTCCTTTACCACGATCAAAATTTAAAAGGAAAAAAAAAGTAAATATACAAAAAAATATAATATTATCAAATTAGTTTGTAATAACTTTTCAAGCTCAGATAAAAACTTCGCAGGTAAATAAATTTGTGAATTAAAATAACATTTTACTACTTTTACTTTCTACTAATTTAACAATTATAATTTATCGAATTATATTTTTTAATTAATTTTTAATATATTATAATTGTTTAATTAACGGAAATTAATAATAAAAATGTTCAATAGTAATAGTAATATATCCCTTAAATTATAGGAAAAACTTATAAATTATAACCCTCTGCCTGAAACAAAAATTGTAAGATCCATCAATTTGAAAAAAAAAAAAAAAGTTTGATGGGAATGAGTTCATTCCCCTTATTTATTATTATTATTTTTTATCAACTCTTAGTATTTTATTACTGTTACATTAAAATTAAATCAACGATTCTTAGTTAATTATATTTTGTAACTGTTAATTTAATTTTAAGTAAACCATAATAAAATTAATAATAAAAAGTGGTAAGAAAAATAATAGTAAATATAATAAATCCCAGTTATACCATCATAATACAACAACATAAATTTATTGAGATACATGCTGAATTTATATGTTTTTAAAAGAATTATGTCACGTGCTTTTCTAATTCTTTTTTCCCAATTATAGAAAAACAAACACTGAACCCTAATTTCAGAGACGACCCTGCAGTTGCACTGCACCACCTTAATCCCGTTTCTGGCAAACCCTACAACGGTGACGGGGGCGATTCGAGCATTTTCTCTCTTTCTGCAGTGGTAATGGCTTTGCCTGCTCAGTGTTAATGCGGTACGGTACTTCCGTTATCATTGGTGAATGAAATGTGGTTTTATTGGTATTTTTCCCTTTTCTCGTTGTCCCTGCCCGAATTCAATTCTCAATTTTTTTTTATTACATCATGACTGTCTATTAAAATTAATGCTCTGTGATTGATGTCATATAATCTATATTTTTACAATTATTTAATTGAAAGTAAAGTTGTAAGGTTAGTGATATGATAATCTGTATTTTTAGCTTGAGGCTGAGGATGGGGCAGAGAGTCTTTGAACCTGAAAATAGCTTATTTCGTTGAGGACAATCTTTATCTGAGGTAACCCTTTAAAATCCCTCTTTCCTATTTGTAAATTTTTAATGCAATTTTGTTGTTCTGATGATTTAGTTATCACTAAGGTTGATTTGTGTGATCGATAATATTGTTCTGATGATGCTGAAGGAAGTAAAATAGTCAGAATGTTAAAAGAATAACTAGTTGTTAGTTGGTCTTTGGGACTCCTGGCAGCTAGCAGCTTGGGGCTTGTAAATCAAACATCATAATTTTTATTTTTATTTTACTATGAATGTTATGCTTGAGTAGTTATTTTATATGGAAAAACAATGCAAAATAGTCAAATATTTACTCTCTCTTTTACCCTAATGTGAATGCCTTTCTTTCCGAAAGCATGTGCTTTTTTGGTACCTTTATCCTCAAGGAGTTAAACGGAGCCAGCAAGACATTTGCCAAAAAATTCAGCTGGTGCTACGGTTATATAACTACGACTACAACGTGGTTAATTTTTCAAAAACTTGAAACATGATTTGCTACGTTTCATGCGTAGCTAAATAAACATGGCTAAATTAGCCAGTGCCAAATTATTTGCTGGTACCAACGTGGCTCCGCCACTGCGTTAAAACTTCTGAGCCCCTTAAGCGTGCCTTTCGCCTTTAATTACCTTGATCCATTATTTTCACCCATTAATACTTACTGCCTTTGTTTTCTCATTATTTTTCCTGATAATTTGACATTATTTTGTTTTCTTTTAATTATGTTGATTATAGACTCTTATATAGAGATTGAGAGAGCTGGGGTATGGGTATTGATTAGGATGATCTAAGTCCAAAAAAATAAATTATAATGGAAATTGAATTCTTTGCTTTTTTGTATGTTTCAAATGTTAGAATGTAATTTTAAATTAATATAATATTTTTCTTTATAAATGAATTCAACAAAAACGTGTTCCAAACAGGCTGTGTCAGGTCCTTGAACTTCCTTTCCACCATGGCCAACAAATCTAAAGAAGAGCCCAAGACTGCTCCTGAGTCTGATCGGTGGTACAATCTCACCCTAGGGCCTTCCTTCAAAGATGAATCCTCTAACAAATACTGCACTCTACGATGTAAGTTACTGAATGAAAAAGCCCTTTATAATCTTCCTCTTTGTCTGGTTTTTCCTCTTACTTGATTTTATAATAAATATATTGTTATGCTTTTAAAATTGATTTTATATTATTATTATTTTCGTGTCTAATTTTAGTTTTAATCCCTGAAATCATGGAATTTTGTATAGATGAATTTAAGCCAGCTTCAGTTGATAAGACTAAGTCAGGATTGCTACGCAAGACCAAAGAGAATAGAGTTTCTCTGGAATTTCAGAACAACCAATTAGGAAAACCCAAGGTCACATTTGAGGGTAATAGTGAGGAATACAAGGAAAATGACGCTGTATTGTTCTTTGATGGGGAGACACTTCGACTGGAGCGGCTTCATAGGGCTGTAAAGCAACTGCGGCACCTTCGAATGCCTGGTGAATCTGCAGCTGTGGTTGCTCCATCTGGACCAGCTTTGGATCCTCGGTCATCCCCTATTGGGAAGTGCATAAAACCAGCACCTTCTGGTAGGAGCTCATTTCAGGCTGTCCCAGTAAGTGCTCACTAACTAACTGTAGCATAATTGTTAGTTTAGTAGTTGAGTCCCTTACATCATAAAAATATATGCAGTTGGAGACTTTCCATTATAAATATGTTTATTTTTTCAGTACATTAAAGTTTTTGCTTGTTTTTATGGAAATTAAAAACTTATTATTTGTGTACGTTTTGTATGAATATCATAATGCATATCCTCTATATGACTTTATGATATATTATGTTTGACACATAGTAGTTAATTAAGCCGCAATAGCGCCGCGAGCCCCGTCGTATGGGCATTGCAGTGCCTCGCCGCAAGAAACCGCGCCGTGCAACACCGGAACGCAATAGCTGCCATTGCGATCGCATTTGCGGCCATAAGGCAAAATGTCAACTTTGTCCTAAATTTAAATGTGTACCAGAATTTTTTTTAGGGTTTTTTAGTCTATCCGCGTCTCACTATGTCACTTCTACTATCTTTGCCTTTAAAAAATGTTTGTTTTTGTCATTATTTCTGTCATATATCTATTCTGCTATTTCCGCAACCGCAACCCGCTATAACATTATAGCGTTTTTGTGGGTTGGCCGCGACATGCCGCAATCTGCATTTGATAACTTTGACACGTTTTTAGATAGAGATAGAATTTGATTGGAGAGGGGCATTATAAACATGATTGTTTATACTTTTTTCCACGGAGGTACTTCTCACTTGATGACCATGCTGATTTTGTATCCTTGAATTACTCAGTACTCAGCTATTTTCATTTTTTATCAACATAATTGAAGTTCTTCTTAATTGAGGGAAAGAAAGAGGATTATAAAAGAACATGAAATCTGTAATTTTATATTTTTAAGATAGCATCCATGGGTTTCTGAGTCTTACCCTATAAATCTCTTTTCCTAGTTGTTGACCATATTTTTTTTTTTCTTTTGATCTGAGTCATTGCTTCTGTGGTTAAAGGAAGGAAAGCAAATAGTTTTTTTCTTTTACTTCTTATCTATTTTCTTTTTCCCAATTTCTAGAATGATATTTACTGGTATGTATGATATTTTGTTGTAAATATTTGTTATTTTATTATTATTAGTATTTGTTATATTGGGCCAAGCCCATTAGGTCAAGTATTAGGGTTTTCATTCTCTATAAATAGAGACCTCTTTGTACAGATTATTTACACAATTAATAATATTTTCTGATTACTTTTTTCAAGTTGGTATCAGAGCTCTCGATCCTGAGGGCTCTGCTTCCGCGCCTATTGTCTTTAGAACAAGAACCTTTTATTCTTTTCTTCTCTCGCTGCCATCAGCCGCCACCGGACTTTTTCCGGGGACCTCCTTGGACCGAGAAGATCTCTGTTATACTGAATCTCTGTTACTGTTCATCGTCTCTGTTACTGTTCATCACAAGACAGCATCTGTTCGTCATGTTTGGACCCTTTTCCCGGTGTTTTTTCAACTCTGACCAGACCCAGAAAGAACCTCGCTCACCGGACGACGTTGCTCCAGAAATTTCAGACCGGACGGCCACCGCACGCGCCCACACGTGCCTCCTCTTCAACCGCGAGTGAAGCCCACGCGCAGCCAATCTCACCGGAGCGTGGAGGCGCGTGAGACCACTTTTCCGGATCGGACCACCGCGATCTTGATCGTCCCTTCATCCTCTTTCTGGATCTGTGCTCAAATCTTTGATCGGACTTCATTTGGTATTTTTTCCAAATTTTTTGGCTTCTTGGTGCTATTCTTTGACAAGTTTTGTGCAGTATGGCCTCTTCTCAAAGAAGTTCCTTTACAAAGTCTTCTGATGGTGCATCTTCTGGACCTAAGAGAGATGATCGATGGTGTTCTTATTGTAAAAGAACAGGTCATATCAAGGATCTATGTTTTCGCCTCCATGGAAAGCAAACTGTCTTAGAAAAGATGGATACTGCATTTCGTCCAGATGAGTTGGAACGGCTCCGAACCCTCCTTGATTCTTTGAGTAAGCCATCTGATACTAGTGCTTTTACTATGACTGGTATGAGCTCCAAAACTTATTCTTTCATTTCTTCATGTAATGATTTTAAACATTCTTGGGTTGTTGATTCTGGTGCTACTGATCATATGGCTTGATGTGCTGACTCCTTTACTTCTTATCATCCTACCACTGAAACTCATACAATAGCCGTAGCTGATGGCTCTCATACATCAGTTGCGGGTTCTGGTGACATAAACTTACAGCAGTCCTTACATCTTAAGGATGTTCTTCATGTTCCTAAACTCTCCACGAATCTTCTTTCTATTCATAAAATTACAAAAGATTTGAATTGTAGTGTAACCTTCTATCCTACCCATTGTGTGTTTCAGGATCTCGCCACGGGGTAGACGATTGGTAGTGCTAAAGAGCAAGGTGGGCTGTACTATCTGGTGTCACAATCTCCCGCAAATAAATTAACAGATCACATCTTGATGTCTCATGGTCAATCAACTGCTGATTCTTTGATTTGGCTTCAGCATAAGCGCTTAGGTCATCCTCCATTTAGTTTACTCAAATCTTTATTTCCATCATTGTTTTTGTCTAAGTCTGTTGAGTCTTTTCATTGTGAATTTGCTAAGCATCATCGTGTGTCTTTTCCTTCTAGTATTTCTAAGAGTGTTGAACCTTTTGATCTTATTCATTCTGATGTTTGGGGTCCCTCTAAAGTCCCTCATGCTTCTGGAAATATATGGTTTGTTTCTTTTATTGATGACTGCACTCGTGTAACTTGGGTGTACTTAATGCGTGAAAAGTCTGAGGTACCACAACTGTTCTTTCAATTTTATAAAATGGTTGAGACCCAGTTTGGTAAAAAAATCAAGAGACTAAGAACAGATAATGGTACTAAATATGTTAATCACAGTTTTTCCCAATTTATAAGAAATAACGGTATGATTCATGAACTTACTTGTGTTGACACCCCCCAACAGAATGGGGTTGCTGAAAGAAAAAATCGTCACCTTCTTGAAGTGGCTCGTGCATTAATGTTTCAGACACGTGCCCAAATACTATTGGGGAGATGCTATTCTTACTGCAGCATTCTTGATCAACCGTTTACCCACTCGGGTACTTGACCATGTAAGTCCTATTCACTCTATGACTTCTTTTTTCCCTTCTATTCCAACTATGAGTCTTCCTCCACGAGTGTTTGGGTGTGTTGCTTTTGTTCATGTTCATAAACATCATCGCAGTAAGTTGGACCCTAGGGCTATTAAATGTGTTTTTCTTGGTTATGTTCCTGATAAGAAGGGCTACAAGTGCTATCACCCTGGTAGTAGGAATTTTTTTGTTTCTATGGATGTTACATTTCAGGAATCTGAGTCCTTTTTCCAAGGTCCTCATCTTCAGGGGGAGAATCTTTCACTAGAAATCTCATCACCTCCCTTCTTTGAGTTTGAATCTTCAGTGTCTACTCCTTTACCTGTGTCAGTGTATCCTCCTCTTGGTCCTATTCCTCCTGTGTCTGTTCCTCCTGTGTCTGATCCTCCTGTGACTGATTCTCACGTGATTGATATAATAGCCCATCTTAATTAATTAGTAAATCAAGTGTAATTAATTAATTAAACATGTTTTAGTGAGTGAAATTAAGTATAAGGCTTAATTAAATGAATCTGAGTCACTTTGGAGTTAAAAAGTGTACTCAGTGAAAATTAAGGGGTATAAATGGGTACTGGCAAAAGTACCCAAAATATAAAAATAAAAATAGTAATATTCCTAGAATAATATTCCAGACTTTTGGGTAAAGTTTGGTAATTATTGGAGTTGAATAGATAGACGAACCAATACCCACATGTTACCACTTAACCTATGTTAAGTGATAAAGTAACCAAAAGAGCCCCAAACCCTCCCATTCCCGTCGACGCCAGAAACAGAAGAGAAGAGAGAAAGAAGAGGAAGAAAGAGAGGGAGAGGGAGAGAGAACCTAGGGGGAGCAAATCTCAACCATTTTGAGTGATTCAAAAGCCTAAATCGCTTAGAATCTCCTCCTCTTTCATAATCCTTGCTTTGTTTTGAGTGGGGAGCATTGTGGAGAGGGATATTGCCTCTCAAAAATTCGGCCATTGGAGAGATTTTGGAGTTTTGGGAAGTTCAACCTCCATGAGAGCTTGAGGAACACTCCTTGCTTGGTTGTGTGACCATTGGTGGTAAGATTTTAACCCTTGAACCTCATGATTCCTTGAAATTTGCATGAGTTAGGGTTTATGAATAGTAAATTGGGATTTTGATGAAATGTAGTTGAATTAGCTATGTTCTAGGAAGAATGGAGCTTAGAGCATGCTATGGAAAATGCTAGGAATGTCATTTAATCGGTGAAAATGAGCTTAGATAGCTAAATGAGTATACTTGTAAAATGGCAAGAATATGATGCTTGATATTGGATTTCTTGCATTGTTGATAAATGGTATGGCTTGGTTGATTGATGATTGTGTCCTAATGGTGTCTAGGATTGAGACATTTGGACCGACCGTGAGTGATCAACCGCTTGAACAAGCTATGGAGCTTGAGTAGCTCATTGGAATTGGTAAGCTCACACTTGTGTGGTGTTTTGAATTGAGTATTTGATGGTTGATTGTGAAATACTCTTGGATGCAATGTGTTGATTGCATTACACCATGTGTAGGTGTTGGTTTTGGAGTAGAGTATTGTTGACATTGGTGAAGAACAAAGGTCGACTGAAGCATTGAGGTAAGCCTTCGGACCTTGGGTGTAATTCCCTTGACTGTTCTACCAAGCCCTGAAAGGGTAGAGGTTGTGATTTTGTATATAAATGCAATAAAATAGTGTAATGCTTTGTTATACGTATGTGTATGCATTTGGTGTGGCATAGGATGGTGTTTCCCTATGTGGGTATGTTGCATGACGATGCGTAAATCATACATGGTAGTTAGCTGGCCAGTAGGACTATTTGCATCTGAGTTTCCTTAGGACAGCTTGAGAGCTCGAGGGATTTCTCCTGGAGATGTAGTGCACTTTGCATAGATATGTATTTACTGCATTATTATTGTTATTGCTATTACACTGATATGGAACTGTGGGGTGGAGAGATGCTCCAAGGACCCCTGGTTTACTGGATATATTCGTATATCTCACCCCGTGTTGTGGGGACCCCCTTTCAGGTAAGGATGCTGCAGGAGCCTCTGGTGGCAAGTGGCCATATCTGGATTATGCATGAAATATGGCATTTCTTTGAGTTTATGCATGCCTTTTGTAGTTGACATGTATAGGATTTTATTTTGAAAGCCCATGGTCATTTGTATATCTTGATTCATTGGATGAACTTAGCCTATGCTCATGCCTTTGGTTACACCTTTTGTTGATGGGAGCCAAGGGAATGATCATAGTGTTTTGTAAGCTAAGTTCTATGATTTGTAAAGGATATGTAATGTAAATGATGCCTACTTGAAATTCAATATATGCATGCTTGTTATGTATTGAGTTGTTGAATTGGTTGGGCTGAAAATCAATTAGGTACCCTTTTGTTTAAACTGGTAAACGATGAGAAAACAAAGGTCATGCTGCCCAAATTCTAGCTAAATCTCATGAGGAGAGGTTGGATGAGTGCTAGGATTTAGTTTTGGGGCATGGACAATTGGGGTTTGTAATGGGGATGCATTTTCCCCTAGGCTTGGACTTGAGAAATGTGGGAATTGGAATTCCCTGGCAGCGCGCTTAAGCGCCCAGGAGCGCGCCCAAGCGCCCTGCTGCCCCTGCGAGTGCCAATGCATTCTGCCTCCTTGCGCTGGAGCGCCCAAGTGGGGGCTTAAGCGCCCAGGATTGCGCGCTGGAGCGCCCTGGCGTGCGCTTAAGCGCCCTTTGCTGCAGAAAGTTGGGTGGCTTACTGCCCCCTCGTGTTTTAGCGCCCAGGGTGGGGCTTAAGCGCCCAGGGTTGCGCGCTTGAGCGCCCAGGGTTGCGCGCTTGAGCGCCCTGGTCCGCGCTTAAGCGCCCTTCGCCACTGAAGGAGGAGATGCTTCTGTCTCTGCGCGCTAAAACGTCCCCGTGGGAGCTTGAGCGCCCAGGATAGCGCGCCTGAGCGCCCTGTTGCGCGCTTAAGCGCCCATCCACACTGGAATGCCTGATGCTTACTGCCTCCGTGCGCTTAAGCGCCCAGATGGAGGCTTTAGCGCCCGATAGCGCGCGCTTGAGCGCCCGGTAGCGCGCTGAAGCGCGCGGGGCCTGTGACCAACACTCTCTTGTGTTGCTTCAATTTGTCCTAACTTGGGCTACAGTGCTCCGATTTGAGCGCGGTTTGAAGCCACGCATAGCTAATGAAGAAACCTACAATATAGTAGAAGTTGTGAACATGATGTTAAGCTTAATTTATCTGTTTTCGCAAGGTAATATGGTTATGATCACGAAAATGGGTATTATAAGTTCGGTACGTTTTAAAATGAAAAATTTATCCGGATTTTAATTGAACCCATGTGATTGTAACTGCGCTTAATATCATAATGCGATGTTAACAAACCGGTTCTAGAACGTGGTGTTACATTTTATGGTATCAGAGCAGTTTCGTCGGGAATAACTGTTAGCTATTGTTGAGTATGCTTAGTGTTTGATGCTTTATAGTTGTTTTAGTACTCTGTATGATTATTGCATTTGTGATCACTAAGTGTGGGCCTGATCAACTCACTTCTTTGTGTAACATGTGTAGTGACATGACGAGGAACCGAAACAACCCCGGACCATCAAACACCAATGCTCAGCCAGAACCTGTTTTGGCTGCTCTTGTGAGGCCTAGAAGTGGCCGTGGGGCAACGGGCGTACAGCCTGATCCCGTGGCTGAAGCTCTTGCAGCCGTTCAGAGGGAGTTGGCTGCTAGCAGGCAAGCCAATGAAAATCTGATGAAAACAAATGAAGACTCACGGACTGCCATGGCCGCAATGATGACTGAGCTGAGGACGTTGAGGGGTCCTAGGCCCGTGAACCGGCAACCCACTCCTCCTCCTCACACTGCTACGCCTTCTCCACCTCCTTCACAGGAAGAGGGTGGAGTGGGTAACAATGAGGGTGAGGGTAGCCATCACTCTGGAAGTCGGAGTCATCACACTGAGGTTCGTCAACCTCAAGTTGACAATGTCGGTGATCATGAAATGGAGGAAAGGAGATTGATGGCTTTCCGAAAACATAAACCTCCTTCTTTTAAGGGAGGTTATGAGCCAATGGCGGCTGCAAAATGGCTCCAAGCGATGGAGAAAATATTCAGGGTGATGAGGTGCCCTGACGCAATGAAGTTGGCTTACTCTGTTTATATGCTGGAAGAGGAAGCAGAGGATTGGTGGACAAATACCGTGCAGCCATTAGAAGCTGAAGGTCGGGAGATCACATGGCGGTTATTCGAGACATTGTTCTTGGATAACTACTTCCCTAGAGAGGCTAGGGAACAAAAGCAGAATGAGTATAACGATCTCAAACAAGGGTCGATGTCTATTGACCAATACTTCTCAAAATTCAATGAGTTGGTGAAATACGCCAACTATGGGCGAGCCTTACCCACCCCGGCTGAAATGACCTCCAAGTTCCAATGGGGTCTTAATGAGAAGATGTCTCGGAAGATGTCAAATTGTGACATCCGAGAGTTCAGTCGGTTTGTAAACCAGTGTAGGAAAGTGGAGGAAGTGTATAAGGTGTCCCAAACCAAGAAGTCTTCTGAGGCCCAGGCACCTAGTTCCAATAAAGCAACGGCCTCAGGTTATTGGAAGAACAGGAAGGTGCAAGGCAAGAAGCTGAATGCGAATAAGCCCTTTGACTTGTTCAAAAAACCCGGTACTCAGAAGAAGTTTGTTGATAGAGGACCTCCTCCCAAGTGCAAGGGATGTGGCAAAGAGCATAGAGGTCCATGTGCTACTGGTGAGGTGATTTGCTTTAAATGTGGAAGATCCGGTCACTACTCCAGGCAGTGTCCTCAGAACGAAGCAAGGACTATGGCAGTTCAAGCTACTGCTGTTCCGGTCTCTGTTGTTCAACCTATGCTAGAGTCTCAGACGGTTGGTAGAGTATATACCATGGACCGTCAACAATCGGAGAAGGCTCCGAATCTAGTGAAAGGTACAATTTACATTGATAATATGGATGTTGAAGTGTTGTTTGATTCAGGAGCTACACACTCCTGTATGTCTGATTTTATGGCCGTTGGTCTAAATTTGCAAATGTATGACATTCGCCCTCCAATGAAAGTGGTTACAGCTACTGGAGAGGAGTGTTATACATCCGTGTTGTGTAAAGATGTCGAATTCAAATATGAAGGCCGAGATTACGTGCTGGATTTTATTTGTTTACCTATGATCAGCCTTCAAGTTATCTTGGGTATGGACTGGTTGTCAAAGAACTGTGCTATGATAGACTGCTGTGGTAAAAGGATTGTGCTCGATGCTGATGATTCTGCTACTAGTTCTTCCCCATATCTATCTGTGTTGCAGGTTAGAAAGGCTTTGAGGGCCGGGGCATTGGGATATGTCTTTGTGGGGGGTTTGGTAGGCGGAAGTCATGAGGAGATTGGCACTATTTCCGTGGTGAGGGAGTTTGTGGATGTGTTTCCAGATGAAATTCCACAACTTCCGCCTCATAGAGAGATTGAGTTCACGATTGATCTATTGCCTGGTGTGGGGCCTATCTCTCTGGCTCCGTATAGGATGTCACCACCGGAATTAGCCGAGTTAAAGAAGCATATTGAAGAGCTTTCGGCTAAGCAGTTTATCCGGCCAAGTGTGTCCCCGTGGGGAGCACCAGTCATATTTGTTAAGAAGAAGGACGGTAGCATGAGATTGTGCACTGATTACCGTCAGTTGAATAAGGTTACAATTAAGAACAAGTATCCTCTCCCTCGCATAGATGATTTGCTTGATCAGTTGAGGGGTGCTTGTGTTTTCTCAAAGATTGATTTGAGGTCGGGTTATCATCAAATCCGAATTAGGCAGGAAGATATTCCGAAGACTGCCTTCCGATCTAGATATGGACATTATGAGTACCAAGTAATTCCATTTGGACTCACTAATGCTCCTGCGGTGTTTATGGATTACATGAATCGCATATTTAAGCCGTTTCTGGATCAATTCGTGATTGTGTTTATTGATGATATCCTGATATATTCGAAGAGTAAGGAAGAGCATGAAGGTCACTTGAGAACTGTGTTGCAAATTCTCAGAGAGAAACAGTTATATGCAAAGCCTTCTAAATGTGAGTTTTGGCTTTCTCAAGTGCAATTTCTGAGTCACGTTATCTCTGCCGATGGAGTAGCGGTTGATCCTAGCAAGATAGAGGCAGTTGTTGATTGGGAGAGACCCAAGACAGTAACAAAAATAAGAAGTTTTCTGGGTTTGGCTGGTTATTACCGGAGATTCATTAAAGAATTTTCAGCCATGGTGTTGCCATTGACCCGTTTGACCCGGAAGGATACTCCATTTGTTTGGACACAAGAATGTGAAGAATGCTTTCAGAGCCTTAAGGAGAAACTGACGACCGCTCCGGTGTTAGTACTTCCCGACCCGGAAGGTGAATTTGAGCTATACAGCGATGCTTCCAAGAAGGGATTGGATGTGTACTGATGCAAGATAGGCGAGTGGTAGCTTATGCATCGAGGCAATTGAAACCGCACGAAGAAAATTATCCGACCCATGACCTTGAGCTTGCTGCAATTGTTTTTGGGTTGAAACAGTGGAGGCATTTCTTGTATGGAATGCAATTTGCAATATTCAGCGATCACAAGAGTTTGAAATACTTGTTTGATCAGAAGGAGCTGAATATGAGACAACGACGGTGGACCGAGTTCCTAAAGGACTATGATTTTGAATTGAAATATCATCCTGGCAAGGCTAATGTTGTAGCTGATGCACTGAGCCGAAAATCCGTGAGTATATCAAGCATGATGATCAAAGATTATGATGTGATTGAGAGGTTCAGAGATATTCAATTATCTAAAAATTTTCCATGTAAAATTTGTGGCTTTGAAATCACAAGCATTGAGAATGAACTGATGACCAGAATTAAAGAAGCTCAACTGCAAAATGAAAGTGCTAGACGACTAAAAGGTCAGAGTGGTGTATCCTGCAATGATGAGGGTATACTATTATATCAGGGTCGTGTAGTTGTACCTAGGCAGTTGGCGGAAGAAGTGATGACAGAGGCTCATAAGGGTCATTTTACAGTTCATCCGGGAGCTACAAAGATGTATCAGGACCTAAAGATGAATTTCTGGTGGCCTGGTATGAAGAAAGATATTGCCGAATTTGTCTCTAAGTGTCTCATTTGTCAGAAGGTAAAGATTGAGCATCAAAAGCCTTCTGGTATGTTGCAACCTCTGGATGTTCCTGAATGGAAATGGGAGAGTATCTCCATGGATTTCGTAGTGGGATTGCCGCGAACACAGGCTAGTTAATACTGTGAGGGCTTGCACCTTGGAGCAGGGGACGCA